CCTGGACTGAACCCCCCTCCTGACGGTGGGACTCCAGACATACCAGGACCCTGCAGGAGACACACAGAGACACACACTGTTAGGGGTCGTCTCGCACCATGGTTCCCAGGAGTTTACGAATAATGTCTATGGAATCGGGTCACAGAGGTTTTTGACTTTTAAAATATGGGTCCGCAGAAAAATAGTCTGGAAAACATTGCTCTAGTGCAAGGGTCACCAACGTGGTGCCCAGGGTCACCTTCGGTTGCCCACGGCGTATGTCCTAAAAATCAAACTAGTCAACAAGAGGGTCAAACATTGTACTTTGTTACTGTGCTTTTTTTTAAATCAGTTCCACTTGCAATGATATTCAAATGGGTGGAGTGTCCACTATTGTATGTCCCAGAACTGATTATAATTACATTGTTGGGGAAGTCTGTATCAAACAAGTAGTTCTTTGTATTAATAAGTGGCCTTGAAGAAGTTCTCAATGGCACCTCTGATTGGCCGGACACACCCTGAGGAAGAGTGGTGTTTGTTGCAACACTTTCTGCATTTAAGCATAATAGAGAGCACCGTGCACAGACCTTCTAAGACGCAAACCTATCGCTGTAGCATTCCCTAGGTCTGTGCCTTGACACAGTTCTGTCTCCGGGGGTCAAGGGACACTGCCTTAAAGACTGAGACTGTTGCTTCCTCTCTGACTCTTGTCCATTAGACTGAATCAACCAGTTAAGTACTAGATACATCTGACAGATGATTAGTGAAAAGTGGACACACCTGAGCTTAACTGTGTGTGTCATAGCTAAGGCCAGGAATACTTACCTACAGGAATTAAGTTTGCAAAAAAATCTCAAAACACATTTTTCATTATAGAGTGAACTCTGATTCAGAACAGGGCTGTGACATCACAAAAATGTTGATCGGTGTTGAGATGACTTTGGTTTCTTATTCCAGGAAGAATAAACTACATTATTTATTACATTAAATGTGTCTGTGTCGTGACAGCAGCTAAACCTTCAAAATCTATAAAAACTAAAAAAAAAAAAAACTCAGGGATGTTTTGTTTCCGTGCTGCTGGTACCGGTCGTGAAGGGGGCGGAGCATTTGGGCCCATTCCATGTGAAACCGGCCCTTGCATGTTCGGTGCCATAGGAACCCTCTGTGTAGTCACCTGTCCACGAGTGTCCATCCCTCTGGGGTCACGACCTGCGGAGCCACACAGGTAGACAAACAGACTTGTCAAAGAGTGTGAAAGACACCCGTCAAGTATTAAACTTTAAATTTACTAAAAAATGTACTCCTGTTTAGTTGAAGACAATGCTGATACACCGGCAGGAATTGAAGAAAGACACAAAGTTCTAATTTTTTTTTTTTTTTTTTTTTTTTTTTTTTTTT